CGAACTGGGGACCATCCGAGAGCTTTGTTCACATAGGCCATTGAAACCTTAAAGGGATCCCCATATTCCTTCTCCAGTAACCTCCTAGCCTCCTTATATCCTTCAGAAGGGTCCATATGCAGACAGCCTCCAATAAGTTCTCGTGGTTCCCTTTCAAGATGTTGTTCCAGGTAGTATAAACAATCTGCCGCCCTGAATGTTCTGGACTCTATCCTTGCCTTGAATGCCATGATAAAGGTTCCATATTCGATGGGGTCTCCTTTAAACTTGTGCACTTCAGGTTGAGGCAGAGTCATTGCTGCAGCCAGTTGCTGATGGGTTGCAATCATTTGCTCATTTTGCTGTCGCTGCATGGCCATCACTTCTTTGAAAGACCTTTCATGGGGTTCCAATCGATAGGGATCATCAGCTGCAGCGATAATTCCTTGTGGTACATCAGTGGTCCCGTTGTTAGCCGGAGGCGATATCTCGCCAGCTAGACTGTTTGAATGAAACTCTGGGGCAGCAGGGTTAAGATGAGCGGCAGGCGTTGAAGCCATGAATTTAGGTTCACTTTGCTGGAGACAGGGAACAATACCATCCTTATTTTCTAGGTTACCATCATTTTCCAAATCGGCATAAACCCTTTCTCTGGCCTGGGCTTTCGCTATTTCAGTTTCCAGTTTCGAGGCTTCATCTGCTGCTCGTAGAGCTTGTTTGCATTCTAGCATTTGTTTTTCAGCTTGTAATTCGGCTAGCTTAAGTTTCTCCTTTGCTCGTGCAGATGATGTTGAGCTGGCTGAAGACTTCTTCGAACGGGTGCTAACACAGGACGATTTGGATGAAGCTGATTTTACTTCTGAGAGCAGATCAAGTTCTTCTGTTAAGCAACGTTCTGGTACATTCATCCATTCCATAACCTGTTTCCTAAATTCCAAAAATGACTTCTCCTTACTTTCATAGCGATCAAGTTCCCTTTCTTGATCCTGTCCGGAGGTCAACTGGCAATAATAAAGGTCATGTGCTTCTTTATACTCTTTGAATAACGTCTTCAATACAATAACCTCTGATTTCACTAAATGGAGATTGTTCTCATCTTCCATTAAGTTTGTAAGAGCATTCCTTTGTTTTGACACAGCAGTCGTTTTGGCAGTTTGATCGTTTTTCAGTCGCCTTAATTTCTCTTCTTGACCCTTTTCAGTTAATTTCCTTACACGAGTATTGGGACAGCTTTCATTCGGAGGAAACCCAGGCCCAGTGCCCTCAGCGGCAGGTTCCTCGTTCATGGTGGACTAGGCACTAATTAATCCTTTGGTGGTCGCTTCAAATTAGTGATGAGTGGCGAACAATTCGCCCAACATTGCAAATAAACATAGGATAAGTTCCAATAAACCAGTGTGCGATGAGGATTAAACTTTTCGAAACGAAATGTGCACGCATAAAACGGTACGACAACACAAACTTGAACATGCGTACTTGTAATTATGAAATGGACTTTACAATCTTGAACGAACGTTGTACGGTTTCGAAAACTAAAGGAAAACAAAGGAAATTACAACTATAAATATGGAAAAAGGCTAGACAAACAAGAAACAAAACCAAAAAAAAACTTACGTTTGTGTCCTTATAATATAAATGATGACGTTAAACGGGCGTTGAAACGATTCCCCACTTCAATCGAGCACATGTATTTTTTAACTCGCAGCGCCTCTCAGGATCCAGCTAATGAGTGCGTGACATCACGCATAACGGCAGTAACATCTATAATGTGCAGAGCAAAACAAAAAATACTGATAATGAAAAAGTTAAGTCAATGAGAAAAAATAATGTAAATAAAGCTACAATAAAACAATATATGGAGGAAATTGTAGAAAGTACACTCATTTGTTTAATGTATTTCAGTCTAAACTTCAAATATTATTTCTGTCTGTTATGTGTAAAATGTCATGGACAATGTCTATTTATATAACTACATTCATGTAAATCTCGTGATAATTTATGCTTTAGAATTGCAATCAATATTCTCAAGATCACTAACCACCAAACAATTACCAACTTCTGCACTCTTGTGTAGGAGAAGATATTATGTCAGTGTCTCTCTGTTTTGGCCACCTGAACATGCCATCCCTTTTATGTGCTACAAAGTTAAGGTTTATTCATGATGAATACAATTACTTCAAGGAATTCTTACAATTTTAACGTGCATGTAGCAGTTCAGATGTTTCTATCAATTCTCTCCTTGTAGCAGATCAAGGGTTCTAGCAAATGTAACTTAAACTACAGTCGACCAAAGTATTCCCAGTTCAATCGCCAAGTATAACTACTAGCTATTATTTTTCTCACAATCATGAGCAGAGTAAAATCCCAAGCCAATTAA